GAAAATAAACTTATCTTCTCATCACTTCCTCTTCTAAACACCTTTAAGAACCACCTTCTGCTTCTGTCTCGCCCATTTTGGGGGCGGGGGCTGCTATGATGCAGTTTACTTGGCATCTGAAAATACATTTCCTCAAATGTATTTTTAATCTGAAAAGAGCGTCACTGAGTGAGAACTAGTGGTACGAGCACAGCAGAGTTTCAGTTTCACTTTCAGTTTCACCTGAGAGCCTGCAGGAGTCATGGGGGTGTGGGGAGGGAGGATGGGGTGCGCTCTGCCATGAGGAAGTTCGGCTTAAAGACACGTCCCAGGGGCGTTTCTGGTCCCCACCTGTCGTTTTGCTCCTCAGCATGGCTTCATAAAAACACTGCAGGATTTCTCAAACATGATGAATGAATCAGAGCAAGGCTTTGGGCATGTTTTTATGAGAGTGTAACATTATAACATGATATAAAACTCAAAAAAAGTTGATTTTACATGATATTGCCCCTTTAATAGTTTGGTTCTGCAGTGCATCCCTGATGTTCTGTATGAATGTGAGCTGGGTCAGGTCCAACAGCTCATCGTGTCCTCAGAGGGCGTCGCTGTGAAAGAACTGAGTTAAACATCAGGACAGATTTAAACATCTGTTTTTATATGTAAATGTAAATGTTCTGTGCAGACACTGTTCCATTGTCAGGTCCTGGACCTGAACTGGAGCTCGGTCCAACACATACAGGGTTTAAAAGTTAACGGGCCAACAGGCCTTACAGATGATTGATTTAGCAGCTAAAGCAGCCGAAGGATGAACTGTTAGCGAGCTCGGAGAAAGCCGGGGGTCCCGTCAGCTGCAGTTCAGTCACGACTCCTCCTGGTTTGTTTTCATTCAAACGTCTCCGCTCTCAGTTCTGGACCGAACTGAACCGGGTCAGGCTCTCCAAACAAAACGTAAAGCAGACGAGCTGCTGTTCCTTTCGTCAGGTCGGAGGAAAAAAGGCTTCCTGCTGATGTTTCCACACGACTGGACCTGATGCCTGAGGAGACTCGGGTCCAGCTTAGACTGGGCTCTGACCTTATAAAGGCAGAATCCTGCAGACCGGACCTGAACCTGTAAACACTCCCAGCTCACATGACCAGCTCCATGTCAGGATCTTTGCCAGAGCTGTACAGTAACTAAGTACAAATACTTCGTTACTGTATTTAAGTAGTATTTTTGGGTATCTGTACTTTACTTGAGTAATTATTTTTCAGTCTACTTTTTACTTCTATTCCTTACATTTAAAAAAAGACAGGAAGTAGAAAGTCGTAACTTTTATTTCATTTTTGCTTGTTTTCATTCCAGCTTATTGTAAAAAATAAATACTATCCATTTAAACTGATCCTCCTAGATCAGAGTTTCCCAAAGTTGGGGTCGGGACCCAAAGTGGGGTCCCAAAACTTCAAGGTGGGGTCCTGAAAATATTTTCTGAATTAATTGTATTTTTGCC